GCGATAAGCAGATGCGGCTTTATAAGAAGAGAAGCCACGATGAATAGCCGCTACCTCTGCAACACCGGCACGCTCAAAACGTTCGATAGCCCCCAGCCAAAGCTCTGCATCTGGGTTTACCGGGTTCTTCACCATTACCGGCACCTTTACACCCTTTAAGGCATCTGCCAGCCGCTGTATCTGGAAGGGGTTGACCGTGGTCCGCGCACCAATCCACAAGACATCGATGTCGTGTTCTAAAGCCAGTTCTATATGTGCCGGCTCGGCTACTTCAATGGCCACCGGCAGTCCCGTTGTCTTTTTCACTTCCTGTAACCATGGCAGGGCTACCGCCCCCATCCCTTCAAAATACCCGGGCCGGGTCCGGGGCTTCCAGACCCCTGCACGAAAAAGCTGTACGGGTAGTTGTTGTAAGGCCTGTGCCGTTTCCAGCACCTGCTCACGGGATTCTGCACTACAGGGGCCGGCAATCAGAAAGGGTTTCTGCGCGGATTGAAAGAAAGACATGCAGCAAAGATATTCCGTTATCAACTGGCAATGGACAATGACCACCCATCAGGTAGGATCCATCCTTTTTTTTAACTTCTCTTAAGAACTTCCTCCCCAACGCAGCCGGTTAAGTCTGCCAACCGCCTACCTTTGCAGCCATGAAAAATTTCCCGACGCCTGAAGTGGTACAGGCAGGTGCCGTTATACTGATTGATAAGCCTTACCGCTGGACTTCGTTTGATGCGATCAATAAATTCCGCCGGCTGGTAAAAACAAAGATCGGGCATTGCGGCACGCTGGATCCATTGGCCACCGGCCTGCTTATCTGCTGCACGGGTAAGATGACCAAGCAGATCGAAACCTATCAAAAGCTGCCCAAAGAGTATACCGGCATTATAGCACTCGGCGCCACCACCCCTACCTTTGACCTGGAAAGTGAGCCTCAGGATTTTAAACCTTACGAGCAGCTGACCGAAGCCGCCATCAAGGAAGCAACAATACCGTTTACCGGCAATATCATGCAAATGCCCCCGATACACTCCGCCATAAAAAAGGACGGGAAAAGGGCTTATGAAATGGCACGGCAGGGAAAAGAAGTAAAGCTGGACCCGAGGTCGATTACCATTCATACGTTTGAGATCACGGAGATCTCATTACCAGAAATTCATTTCCGCGTTGAATG